AAAAAAACTACCTCGCCCTCCCTCCCCTCTATGGTATCCGTCATTATTCCGCAAGTGCCTCTTTCGAAGACACTTTCGGCCCCACCAGGACCTCGAAGGGCCTCTCCCCCCCCTTCCACTCCCCTCCCCCCCCTTCCCCCCCTCCCCACCCTCCTCCGCCCCCAAACGAAGTCAGCGCCATGGGTCGTGCCTTCTCCTTCGTCTTCACCTCGTCCACTTCGGCCTTCAAAGTAGTCGCACACAGCGTTCGTCAAAAATGAGCTACTTTTGCCAAAAATCGGGCGCCACAACGTGCTGTAGAAAAAAGACAAAACGGGCACGGAGGACAGGAGCTCGTGGAGTGACCAATGATCGACGTGATGAGAGATGCGCATCGAGCCCGTGCTGGTCTCTGGGGCCTCGCTCTCGGTCTCCAAGGTCAAGATTGTGATGGTGTGCAGAGAGAAGGCACACAGGGACGGCAAGCCCCGGGGGAAGTATTTTATCTGCCAGTCAATGACTAGATGATTCCCTCCACGGGTGACACTGCGAGTCTTGATTTCTGCCCTGGAGAAAAGCCCACGCAAAGCACGGAACTGGCCCACGCAAGCCTTCGTATCGTGAGTGACCGTGACCAGGGGATCGATGAAGGATGCGGTTTCGGGCACGTAATGCTTTCCAAACACCGCCTTCACATCTCCCGTTAGATCGTACAATGACTTCACCGCTGTGTACAATACGGTCGCATCATTCATGCTCTCCTTGGAAACAGTCCTTGAGTGAGGGGGGCGGGAATGCGGCCGTGAGGGGGAGACAGGGATTAGCGTAGGCAACCCTGCCGAAGAGGGAGCGTACGGCATTTTTATTCACGTGCCACGTTCTGATGTATTCCAGTCGTGCGGCCTGCAAATTTGTCGAATTTAGCATACCGCGGAATTAAAAAGAGTGAGCGTACGTCCAGGAATCGATGCATGGCGTAGATCGCACATTACTGTCACTCAGAGGATGCTGCTTTATTTTTATGCCCAGACTCTCGAAGACATCGCTTGCTAGATCACGATCGCCCCAAAAATTCCTGAAAATTAATACACTCCATCCTCCTCTTATCATGTCGCGGTCTCTAACGCTGCCACGACAAGATTTACCCTCCTGTTCTCTTTTCTCCAAGCGACTGGCCATCAAAATCGGGAGTAGCTCCTTTTTTGAACGTGTGCAAATAGCTTTCGGCCGCTCTTCTTCATATAATCTTCATTTTTATCTCCCTTGCTTCAGAGGTTTTTGGTCTTCTCATCAAGTGTCTGTGGTACATGCCATATGTCCACTCCGACAAGAAGCAGCTTCGGGTGGATTGGAAATCTCTTGTCTGCTAACAGGATCCTACATACTGGCATCTTCGCATCTTCTTTTCCGCAATCATGATGCTCGCCAAGCCTGCCAGCGGCACGAGTAAATCATTAGGGAAGATTTTGAACAAGCACCCCACCAAGCGTCATGGGGGGCTAGCCTTTAGTCAGGGCTCGGGATTCGTCCCATCGGTGGTCGCCGGTCCCAATGACGCGAGCACCGGGACGGTGGATTGCCTTATGCCGACTGTTGAGCAATTTGTCCGGGCAAGGGACTATGCGGGGGCCTTGGCCATCTTGGACTTCACGCGCCGTATGGAAAGGGTCGACGGAGGCTCGACACTAGAGTATTTGCTATGGCGGGCGTACTGCGCTTTCCATATGGGAGAGTACGAGCAGGCATTGCATACGTATGAAGGCATCCTTCGCGGGGAGCACTGGGCGTCGGACGGAGAGGGAAGGGACTTGAAAGACAAGAAAACTCAGAGTCCAAACAAAGGCCACTCGCAATGCACGGACGGCACGGCAGAAGTAGCAGGCCCTAAGGCAGACACGTCTCTCCCGGAAGTTCATTTGTTTCGGGCATGCTGTCACTACTACATGCAGCAGTACGAAGAAGCCGAGCGCGCCGCCATGCATGGCCCGTTGGAGGAAGGTGGACTGCGCACCCGTCTTCTCTTCCACATCGCCCACAAGCAAGGGAACGAGACGAAGCTCCTGCACTTACATCACCAGCTCAGCGACGGCGTGGAGGACCAGCTCTCTCTGGCTGCCATCCACTACCTCCGCTCCCACTTCCAAGAGGCCGTCGAGGTCTACAAGCGGCTCCTCCTCGAGCACAGGGACGACGTGGCCCTGAACGTGTACGTGGCGCTGTGCTACTACAAGATGGACCATTACGACGTGGTCATGGAGATCCTGGCGGCCTACCTCCAGGCGCACCCGGGGTCCTTGGTGGCCCTCAATCTGAAAGCATGCACCCACTACCGGCTCTACAACGGAAAGGCTGCCGAGGCGGAGCTCCAAAAGGGGCTTGGGGAGGCATATGGCGTGGACTTGCAGGAGCACGCATTGCTGAGGCATAATTTGGTGGTATTCAGGGGCGGGGAAGGGGCTCTTCGGGTCCTTCCCCCCCTGGTCGACGTGATCCCCGAGGCTCGCCTGAACCTGGTCATCTACTACCTGCGGCACAACGGCACGGAGGAGGCCTTCGAGCTGATGCGACATTTGGAGCCCAGCACCCCCCAAGAGTACATCCTGAAGGGGATCGTCAACGCCGGGCGGGGCCTGGCGCTCGGCTCTCGCGAACACTTGAAGACGGCGCAGCAGCTGTTTCAGCTCGTGGGTGCCTCGGCCAGCGAATGCGACACGATCCCCGGGCGGCAGAGCATGGCCTCCTGCTTCTTTTTGCTCAAGAATTTCGAGGACGTGAACACTTACCTCTCCTCCATTCGGACCTACATGGGCGCGGACGATGACTTCCATTGGAACTACGGCATTTCCCTGGCCGCCGTGGGAGACTATCAGGCGGCCGAAGAGTCCCTCTTTGCTGTCCGTAACGAAGAATACAAAGCCGAGCCCGCTTTTCTGGCTTGGCTGTGTCGATGCTGTATTATGAACGGCAACCCGCATTACGCCTGGGAGCTTTATCTGCAGGCCGACGCGACGGCGGGGGCCGCAGCGACTTTTGCACTTTTGCAGCTTGTGGCCAATGACTGCTATCGGATGGGCCACTTTTTACTGGCGGCCAAGGCCTTCCACGTGCTGGAGCGCTTGGACCCCGACGATCCTGAGTATTGGGAGGGGAAACGCGGGGCGTGCGCTGGAGTCCTACAGCTCTGCTTGGCGGGGACGTTGCCCAAGGAGGAGCTACAGGAAGCGATGATTTTGCTCCGGGAGGGAAACGTGAACAACCCCCAGGCGGAATACATGCTGAGGGTCATGAAGAAATACGCTATGGAGTGAAGCCCCGGGGGAAAGAGGAGGCACCGGAGGCGCATGTGATTATAAACATGTACATTCAACAAACCAAGAAATAGAGGAAATATATTTGGAAGAATTCAGCTTTACCACGAAGAATGTTGCTTCCTCTTGGCGCATCAGTGGGGGCACTTCATCCGTGCACTTGCGGCCACCGCCTCAAGCTTGATCTCCTGTAGCGCAGGGCTGCCTCTATATAGGACGGTGAATAGCCCTTTAAAAGCAACAGCGATTACTGCGAATGCGGGCGCTTAGAGCCGCTTGACTGTATCGCTTTTTGTCTTTCTGGTTGTTTTTCATCGACCTGGAGGGGCCCGAAATGCGGTCTTCGAGGGCTAACCAGACACAGGGCGTTGGCCATTGATATTTCGCTCCCCCCTTCCCCTCCATGTAGCCATTACCACACAATACAAAGCTCCCCCGACTCTTACTGGCATGCTTGTACAGATTTTGTCAGCCGCTACTTGTAGTTATCGATCATTGGAGGTAGTTGACTGGAAAGACCACTTGATACGAATACCAACAAAACACAATACCCGCCGCATCCTCCGCCTTCCTACAACTATGCTTGGTTCAACACGTTGGCAAACTTATTACGCGCTATTCAGGGTTAGCTGGCAATCTCTCTAGCCCCAGAGGTCCCTCCCCAGCTCCTCGCCGGGCGGGAGATGATGAAAACGTGCCAGGGAGCGGAGGAAGAATCACAGCCCGTGCTCCCACTCGCAACAACTGCCAAACAAGGCACATCCGCCCTTCCTCCCTCGCGCTTTGGCACTCATTTGACATCAATGCACCCTGCTTACGCGCGTGGAAACCGGTGACCCCACCAGGTCTTGTGGCAGCATGCATTGCCTCTGATCTTCCCGTTTGACCTCCGAAACCAGAGCTTTTCCGCTGACCTCACGCACGCCCGTCGCATTTGTCCTCTTTCTATACCCACCCAGGCGCGCTGTCCCGCTCCACGCCACTGAGTGTCAAATAGTGGTTTCGAATCCTGTTGTCATGTCGACTCCGGCTGATAAAGAAGTCCAGGTACGTGGTTGCGTAGGAGAGGAAGGCATCTGTGGTTTGGATCCAGTGGTCTTAGGACCACGATACTAGATGCCGTGTATGTAAACCGAAAGGGCAATTTTTCATTCTGTCTTCATCAACATGCATCAACCTGCAGCGGAAGAAAGCGTACAAGAAAGGCATTGACTCGGACGATGCACGTCGACGTCGAGAAGAAACGCAAATCCAAATCCGAAAGAACAAGCGGGAGGAGTCACTAAACCAACGCCGACGCACGGATGACTTGGGAAACGCACTCGGTGTAAACAATGCGGGCGCGGGGGGGGGAAGCGCGGCTTTAGATATGGCTCAGCGCCTGAAAGAAGTGCCAGCCATGGTTGCGGGGGTGTCATCGATGGATCCGGCCGTGCAATTAGAAGCCACCACGCAGTTTCGCAAACTGCTGTCCATAGAGAAGAATCCACCGATTCAACACGTCATAAATGCAGGAGTAGTGCCGCGGCTTGTGGAATTCTTGCAGCGGCAGGAGAATCCCCCCTTGCAATTTGAAGCGGCCTGGGCCTTGACCAACATTGCCTCTGGGACCTCAGAGCACACCAAAGTAGTGATCTCTGAGGGCGCCGTACCCATCTTCGTCCAGCTTTTGAGCTCTCCCAATGACGACGTCCGCGAACAGGCGGTCTGGGCCCTTGGGAACATAGCGGGCGACTCGCCCCAATGCAGAGACCTGGTGTTGGGGCAGCACGCCTTGCTCCCCCTCCTCCAGCAGCTGCATGTGAATTCCAAGCTAACCATGCTTCGAAACGCGACCTGGACTCTGTCCAACTTTTGTCGAGGAAAGCCCCAGCCTGACTTCGAGGTGGTCAAGGCGGCGCTTCCCACCCTGGCGCAGCTTATCTACTCTCCCGATGAGGAGGTGCTGACCGATGCCTGCTGGGCCCTGTCCTACCTCTCGGACGGCCCGAACGAGAAGATCCAGGCCGTGATCGAAGCCGGGGTCTGCAAGCGCTTGATTGAGCTCCTCATGCACCCCTCGTACACCATCCAAACGCCCGCGCTCAGGACGGTGGGCAACATCGTGACGGGAGACGACCTGCAAACGCAGATCATCATTGGCTACCATGCCCTGCCCTGCCTCCTCGCCTTGCTCAACCACATGAAGAAGACGATCAAGAAAGAGGCATGCTGGACCGTCTCCAACATCACGGCCGGCAACAAGGACCAGATCCAGGCTGTGATCGACCAGGGGATGATTCGCCCCTTGATCGGGCTTCTGGAAACAGCCGACTTCGATGTGAAGAAGGAGGCGGCCTGGGCGCTTTCCAATGCCACCTCCGGTGGAACGGCGGAGCAGATCAAACATTTGGTGGAGCAAGGCTGCATCAAGCCGCTCTGTGACCTGCTGGTGACCGACGACAACAAGATCATCTCCGTGGCGCTTGAGGGCTTGGAGAACATCTTGAAGGTCGGAGAGCGGGAAACAAAATGGTTGGTGCGGAGTACAATGAAATGGCCGCCCTGGTTGCTGAGCTGGGTGGATTGCAGAAGCTGGAGGAGCTTCAGAACCATTCTTCGGAGCAATTGTACGAAAAGTCGGTGAGCCTGATTGAACGGTTCTTTGGAGTGGAGGAAGAGGCAGTGGAGGGAGGGGTTGCATCGCAGGCACCGCAACCGAATGGCACTTTCTCCTTCTCGACGGGGGAGATGGGTGGAGGACCGGGCGCCGGTGGAGGTGTGGGCGGCGGTGTCCAGCCACCCGGCAGCTTTAATTTCAACATGGGTTAGGGTTGGAAAGGGAGAAGAGCGAGATGGCGGAGTGGGGAGGTGCAGTGTGGAGGAAGCCACACAAAGGTGAAGGGTGCTAGTTGGCGCATGAGTTGCATGTTAGGAAGGCCGCACGTGACCTCGAGTGGAACCAGCTGGTGGGTCCTTGGGTGAAGAGGCATGCAGCCCACACCATGCCCGCCGGCTCGGTGCGATAGACGTGGTCACAAGCTTGTGTAAAATGGCTGGTGTGTTGATTCTGCGGCGCGATCTCTGGTCGCCTCCAGGTGCTTCTCGGAAGAAGAGGTCTTTGGTCTAGCTTACACCCTTTCATATCCTCCCGTTGTTGCCTCTCCCGAAGCCGAAAAACAATGGAGAATTCTATACATCAGTATCGGGATGCTCTATCAAATTTCACGCATCAGTTCTTGTCGTCGAATGTCTTTTTTCTTTCTGTTTTGGACTCCAGTTTTATGCAGTTGTCTTGCACTTCTGTACGGCGGGTGTAGGCGGCTCCTTCCTTTTTCTTTTCAAGGTGTGACCCGATCGCAGGCAGCACAAGCGGGCGTGCTTTCAAGCATTTGCTCTCCATGCAGACCTTTCTGTGACCACCACTAACCCCGTTTCCCGTATTTTACCTAGGCTCCACATTCAGCATTTCGCAAGCATTAAGTTTTCTTGTCCGCGAGCACTTTTCTCTGTACCACCTCCCTTCTTGCTCCGTTTCTTCTCGGCACCCTCCTCCCCGACGTTGCCAATTTCCTTCGAGACTGCTTTAGAGCCCGAGACCGCCGACACAGATGTCGCTTTGTTGAATTGAGCTTGCTTGCTCTTGAGCGCGGGGCCGTTGCCGAGGGTGCGGGTCACCGTCGAAACGCCGTCCACAAAACGTGTCCGAAAGATAACGTTGGCGTTGTTGAACATGCCCTCCTTCAACGACACGACGATGAATTGCGAGTGAGAGAAATGGGTGCGGAGCATGGCCCCAATATTTTGCGTGTGCGACAAGTCCAAGGCGGCGTCCACCTCGTCCAAAATGTACATGGGCGCGGGCTTAAAAAGCAGCAGGGATAATATGAGAGAGAGGGCCAACAAAGAACGTTGTCCTCCGCTCAGCTCTGTCAAGGTCTCTTTCCAGACACTCCCAAATGCGACCTTTACCTCCAGGCCTTCCAACACAGAGCCTTCTTCCACCGGATCCAGCTTCGCGTTCGTTCCCGGCAAAAGGGTTGAGAATATAGAGCCGAAATCTCGATTGACCTTGACCCATGTCGTCTGCAGCGCCTCATTCTTCTTCACCTCCAGCTCTTCTATCACGCTCATCATTTTTATCTTGTCATTGTCGATCACTTGGAGCTTCTTGCCCAGCTCTTCATACTCGGCCTCCACCTTCTCTATCATGGCCATCACCTTTTTGTTGATGTTTTTCGCCAAAGTCGCCTGCTCTTCCTGTAGCTTCCCCAGCAGATGATGAGCTTTGGCGGGTTTCCGGGCTTCAAAATCGTAGTCCGTATGGGGCCGTCCAAAGAATTGCTTCTCCGTCTCCACCCACGGATGTTTCTCCAGGAGCGCGCTTAGGGCGCGTCGAACCGCTGTTTTGTCCTTTTGGAACCGACCGATTTTGTTTTCAAGCTTTTTGCTTTCGATTTCTGACGCTGAGATTTCTTTCTCGGCCTTGGTTTTCTCAGACTCCAGCTTGTGAATCTGCTTGTCGCACACAGCCACTTGTTGCTTTGCTTCGGCCAACGTATGCTTCGCTGTTTCGTACGCCTCGCGCTTTCCCTTCAATTCTGTATCCATGGCCTCCACTTCCGATTTCAATTTCGACAAACCCTCCCTGGATGCAGTCAGCTGGGCTGCGACGCTTGAATCCTCCCCCTCGAGCTCTTTCACTTCCAACTCAAGCTTCTTCCGGCGATGTTCCGCTGTGTTGACTTCGGTGGCCGCGGCCTCCTGTGCCTTCTTGGCCTTTTTCAAATCATTCTCCAAACCCTTCAACTTTTCCTCCCTTTTCTTCCGCAAACCTGCCTCCTGCTGCTGCAACGTCTTGTGTCGAGCTGCCGCTTCGACCGCTTTGGCCTTGGCCGCCGCCACTGCGGCTTTCGACTCTGCAAGCTCTTTTTCTTGCTTCTCCACCTGTGTTGCGTACATCCCGTGCACACTCTGCGAAACCCGCTCTTCCAACAAGCGAAGCTCATACTCCTTCATCTCCAGAGCCGCCGTCAACTTGCCCCTCTCTTTA